GCAACTCCACTTCCCCCATCTGAAACAACGGCAATTTATTGAAGAGATGAACGGCATAAAAAAAATAGGCAAGGAATTTTTGCCATATCCCATATCCATATCGGCAATATCCCATGGCATACCTCAGTTTAAAACAGGAAATGCCTCTTGAACTGTCGTTGGTTTGAGGGTGGTTCGGGGTTTTCGCTGCCTTTTGATTTACTTTTATTGGCAGATTAAGTGAGTCAAAAGGTAGCGCTTAACATACCCCTCAAATCCGAACCACCGCCCCCTCTCGAATTTGAAGAATTATTGAAAATTTTAACGCAAAAAAAATAATCTGCAAACGAAAACATGGAGTGTGCATGTGCGTATGTTTCTATCAATTTTTATGGAACAGTCGAAAAGTCGCTTTTGATGTTAATCTTTGAGTTATAAAATATCATACGCATTGAAAACGCTCATACCGGGATTTTATAATGTGTTAATGCATGGTTGCAAAATATCAAGTCTATAAAAAGTATTTTAACGAATTTTTGTTGGGGGTAGATGTGATATTAAAAATATTGTACAAAAAAAGAATTTTATACTTCTTTGTTTTTTAATTAACAAATGCTCATAGTTTAAAAGAATTATTTATATTATTATTATATATATTGCTTTTAAATTAAAATGTTTTGCTTATGGATTAATTAAATCGCTTTCGTTAATTGCATAGGAAATAAAATACGATATTTTTGTTACATTTTTGTAAAGCCAAATTATCTTTTAAATATGACCCACATATGGAAAACTATAACCCAAAATTGTTATTCTACCGATATTCCCAAAACAACAGGGCACTTCAACCCCCTTACACTTGAGACTTCCCTTCGGCTCTACTCTAATCCCAAAGGTGTAAATTCAAGCGTAAAATGTGTTAACTATAAACGAACCCAAAAACAACAGTTTTCATATGAATAAACAGCCTCACACAGACAAAACAACCCTTTCTCCGGGGTTGGGGTTACTTTCAGGATGTAATTATAAGCATAAATACGCGTGCCCATTTGCCACTGAATAAATCAGAAATATGATGAATACTAAATAAATGTGCCAGGCTGCTTCACATATCCTTAAACCGCTTCGCCAGCAATAAAACTCAACAGTTCTCGGCCTTGTAGCATACTTTTTGGGGCAGAGAAATGGAAAAAAATATAAACAACAATCAGGCGAAACCCGAAAAACCGGTTTTTAATTAAGATTAAATGAGCAAAGGAGCTCACACATGGATTTAAATTTAAATGAACAGCGGAGGATGCTCAGGCTTCGAAATCAGAGCCAAACTGGCTCCTCGTCGACTTCATTAAGTTAAAAAAAAACAACTGAGCTGAAGCGTGTTAAAATATTAATTTATATTTAAATCGAAAATGATGCGTGCACACACACATGAGTCGGATTTGCATATATGAGAGAATAATTTCCTCAAACAAGTTTGGTAAATACTTTAGGTGAACCATTTGGAAAGCTGAAAATAGCTGGAGAAGAATATGTTTCTGATTAATTAGGAAATACCAAAAGTCCATCGTTTTTTCTCAGGAAATTAAATTCCGATTAAGTTAAATTAAATGTCCAATGTTTAAGAAATAATTCAATTTTAGATATTTTAATAAAACTTTAACAAACTAAGTGAACAAAAACAATCTACCAAATTAAATTAGTTTTTCTCTTCCTCCAATGTTTTAAACATTAAAATTTTATTTAATTATTTCCCTGCCACCTTCCAAATTAGTTTTTTCTACAAACTCTAAAGAAGAATTTCCATTTTATATAAAAACTTTCTCTTCAGCAATTAATAACTCCCAAGACCATTGCCAAAACTCCCAACTCAACCCATTGCGACCCTCGAAAACACGACCCTAAGTAAACATTAAAAACTCGGGGCAGGAAATCACATCGGCCAGAAATAAAACGCACCTGCGGGGCCTATACGAAAATTGTAAAGCCCTGGAAATCAAGAAAAACACGCAAAACAATTATTCTTAAGATATCTCAGCGGCAACATTAAAAGCCAATTCCACTTGATGACAATAGAAACAAAGCGCACAACACCTGCCCTCGGGGGCGTGTTGGCTCAGTGGGCGTGGCCGGGTCTATAAAAAATGCAAAAGAATCAGCCATGCAAACAAAAAACCGCCAAAAGTCTGCCGCAACTTCTTCCAGATTTTCCTCTTGTTATTTTTCTTGCTGGTCCCTTTTAGGCATTGACATGAAAAATAATGTCACCCTAAGTTGCCATCGTCGCGGTTCCTTTTCTCCAGTTTTTCTAACGTCTTGTTCTTTGGGTTTTTCTAACGAATTTTTGTGTCAACGCCGCATGTTGCCCCTGGGTAAAAAAAAACGACAATCCAAGATTTTGGGTCATGTCCGATTTGTCATTTAGTTTGTTTAAAATAAATGATATGGGGCTCACAGATTAAAAGCCACATTTTTCTAAATTATTGAATCTGATGTATTAAATATTGGCTCTTTATTTAATAAAATACATTCTAAAATTTGTTCTTGCCGGTATGCAATTGTAAAGTAATTGTTACTAGGTTCATGATATTTTAAACGTTATATTTATATATATATTTTATTAGGTACTTTTATTTATTAGGTTGAAAAGGGTTCGATTATTTTTAAACTTTAAACTTTGACAGAGAAATTATACTTCGACTCGATCAAAGCTTTATAGAAGCTCCTCCCCCTGCAATGTTGCTATTGGCATTTAAGTTGACATTCCCGCCCACGGATGCGCAATTGCCCCCAACCAAACTCCACAAAAGAGCGACTCTACAAGGCGCGTGGCTCTAATGGGCCAACTTGTAAGCCTCCAATGCTGCCCCGAGGGCAGTACTTCCCTCCACTTTCGGAAACCCCCACCTGGAATGGAACTGAACTGCTCTATATAATTGTCACCATGGGTGTCGCTTGTTTCGTTTTTGGTATTTTTTTTCCGGCTTGGTTTTTTTTGGCAGCTGCAGGCTCTGAGTTGAAATGCCAAAACGTTTAGGCGCAAATTGCGGCAATTAAAAACGTGAGGCTGAGAGCTCTGCAATTGCTTTTCCGGACAGATGCCAACAGGCTGATAAGCACTTGACATGGCCGGCGATGGTGAAAAAATTTGGAAATTATAAGTGGAGGGAAGTTCAGCAAACAGACGATGTCAAAAGCAATTTATATGCAAATCGAGCCACACAGTGTCGATGCCAACTGAGGCGTTGACGGCGAGTCGAGTCAATTGATGGGTTTTCATTGCATTTATTTGGGCATGAAATATCAAATATGTTTCGTGTCCCCCTTCTGCTTAACCCTTTGCTGACCATGGACCGCAAATTGGGCAACACTTTTGAATAATGCATAAAATACGGAATTTGTGAAAATGAGTTGAAACTTTACAAGAGCATTTGAATATCAAAGCGATGTAATTTCACAATCTTTTTCCTCTTTGTTGTTGTACAACATAACTTTTTTGGCACGCTCAAAATTCATTTAAATTATAATCGAAAATTTGTAATTTTTTGATGCTCTAACTGATAAGAGACAAAAATTCCGAAGTTATAATTTGCCGAGAGGAAATATATTTTGGGTTTGGTTTCATGTAGAAACCAGTTGGCACATTTAATGGAATTGTTTAACAACAAAGATTACGCTGTATGTTAAAAAAAAATATCTTTGATTAATAAGTATTTAAATATAAAAAACGAAGTCAATATTTTAGATATAGATGGTAAAACTTTGTACAAATAAGTTTTTAATGAAATTTCTAAATTAAATACGAATTTAAGGTCCCATGAAAAGGAGATAAACAGTGCTGATGTTTACAAATTCAATACAATTTGGCTACAAAACGCACCAAACCTTTTCTAAATTCAATTATATTCCATAAATATCTTTCATTTTTTGGGAATAAGCAATGCGACGTATGCTAATAACCCGACTTAAACATGAGATGAGCTTTCCTCAACCATCGACCCTCACCGTCCCATCCCATTTCGATATTGTTCCACCTCGTGGCCATGAAATTGCTTACCGCTCTCTACAACCCACACTGCCCGGCTCGAGACAAGGCCAAAGCCGATTCCTAGAGCCACATCAGGATTCATCTGGCTGCCGCATATTATCCTGGATTGTTATCAACGGCAAGCGACCCATATAACTGCAGGCCCTCGGGGTCTCAGCCAAAAAAGAACAGCAGGGCGGGGGGCAAAATGAACTCAAACGAAAAAAAGAGCGCAAAAAGAAAAACAAATTTAAAAACCAGAAAGCATGCCCGGCTCAGTTAACTGAAGTTTACATACCCTTTGAGGAATTACAAAAATAATACCATACAATTGAAGTGCAAATGAAGTTTAATTGATTAACCGACACCTATTTATATTGAATATTTGAAATTTTAATATATTAATATTATATTCTTACATGTGTTTCCTTAAATTTTAAATAAATAAATAATTTGAATTATAACAAACTCGTATCCAAAACTAAAATCACCCTTGAAAGAGTATATACAAATGTTTGAATGAATTCGAAAGAGGGGGAGGATTCAGTTTCTGGGTTTGGGGTGCGTTTTCAGGGCCGGCGCCTGCAGATAGGCACAATAATTGTATCAAAAGCATATTTTCCATTCTGGTAGAACGAATTTTATGCTTTTTCAATAAACATTAACCGATTTCGGTATTTTTTCATACACAACCAAAAAAAAACGAAAGAAAGTAATGGCAATGAAAATGTTAAATGGCAAGCATCCGAAAAGTATGCAATCATTCATGCGTTCATTATTTCATAGACTGAGCTCCGAGGGCATACTGTACAGTGCATACATTTTTTTTGTTTACAGAAAAATGCAAACAGAAGATTTTGATGCCGGAAATATAGCAATCAATGAGTTGGAAATATTTTCGTTTAACATTTTGCCATTGGCTTTATTTGTTATTTCCAAATCCAGCCACTTTCTTTTACTGAATTATAATTTACCAAAAATCGAATATTTATTATTATTTTCTTTATTGAAAAGATCCGCTAGTTGGGTTTTATCTTCTTTGCTGCGTTTTTATTTTATTTATTTTATTTAAAAAAAGAACTTTAAGTATTATTTAACATAATCTAGGCTTGACAGACAAAATAGTTTTCGGTTTCACAGTTGTCATCATACATTAGGGGGCCGAACATGGTGACGCAACTCTCCTTTTGACCAAAGTTGTCGGGTTGGTCGGATCTCCAATTTAAAAAGGATGCCTTCAAGCCAGTGGTCCAGCTCTCAAACTCGCCTTCTTTTACCAGGTCGTTGAGGTCCAGCCAGTATTTACCGACCGACTGTTTCTCATAAATTGCATTCATCTCCTCTTGATTTTCGATTACCGCCAATTGACCTCCCAAAGTTTTGCAGGCCTTTACTGCAGCAAACCAATTCAGCTTGTTTTCCTTCTCTATGTAGAAGTACCTTCCACCGATCTTCTCGAAGTTTTGTGCAGCGATTGACTGCTTCTTATCGCCCTCGCTTTTGTTTAACGTTTCTAAGTGCTTATGTTCGTTAGCCGTCTTCTTCACCATTAAGCCCAATGTAGTAATGCAGATTCCTCCGAATTGTTGCATTTGTTCCTGCGATAGACCGGGAATTACACCTTCATTTGGAATGACGGATCCATTTGCAAACTGGGAAGCAATAAATGCAAAAGCCAAAATTATAACGGACTTGAACATTTCGAGTTCTCACAACCAGCGGAGCCAAATGATCTTAATGTACTGAAGCCGAATTTGCCTTTCAAGAGCTTTGCCAAGCTGATAAGATGGATTTTTGTTTTCAAGCTTTTGAGCGAATTCTTTTTAAATATTATGTTATCACTTAAATATAAAGAGAGAGCCATGACATTTTAAGTTTTCTTTTTTTTTCAAAAATTCTCAGAGATTATTAACACACAGCAATAGATCGCTGAAAGTATATTTAAGAGTTATTATTAATTCTGTATTTTAATTGTGTTTAAGAAGCAAGAGCAGCAGGCTTTAAAAAAGAAATAATTATTATATATAATAGCAATTCATACTCTTAGAGAACAAAATTCTATTTTGTTTTTATTAAATACACTTTCATCGCACTCCCATTAATTACTTGAAGAAACCCAATGTTCTCTCCTTTCCCAACAAATCGAGTACCATCTTAAAGCCCAGCGAGCATGAAGGTCACAGCGATTGGGGCGACAACATTAGCATTAACATGATATTGCTGGCCACTTGTTTGACTCAATTAGATTCATTAGGCGAAAATGGCGCAAGTGTCCAATCTAACTTTGACCATTCGAAGGACTACCCAGGACCCAGGACGAGCAGGCAAGTGAGCCCGGGATAGGTCAGCGGAAATAATAAATGTTTGGGCACATTAAATAAATGATTATTACGAAGGGGGATGGTCGTGAATGGTACGACTTTTTGGCACTGAACCTGATGGGAAATAAAAGCGGAGCAGAAATGTATTTTATTTGCACAGGAAATACGTAGTGAAGTTATCTGGCGAAGCAGCGGCAAATAAAAATTATCAACGTGCGAAAATAAAAGTCAAGCCGATATACGGGGTATGTGTCAAAGTTATGATTGCCCTGGCACCCATAAAAACTGATTATGTCACTTGATTAGATGGTTTTTTTTCTCAGCCATTCCCTTTGGAATGACAATCGCATAAAGCTGAACATTCCGTTTAGTTTATTGTTGCACAAACATATCACTCAAATCGCTGAATTTATGATCTGTTGCAATGTCATAAATGTATCGAATTTTTGTCTGTTACTTCTCGGGGGCGCTCGTTGCCTTTCCTCGAACTTCCACCCTCGCGATTCCTGCAGCCCATAATTAAAATAATAATTTTCACGAAAAACTTAAGACCCTGTAATTATAATTGTCAGTTGTGCCAACCCCATAAGATGCTGGGTCCGCCAAGTTCGGGGTTGCTGCTCATTAAACATAATTTTTGTGTAAACAAAGGCGAGTGTAACTTGAGAACAAAATCGATGTCGGGTTTCATTTGCTGCCCCACTGCTGAGTGAAGTGGGTGGTGCGAGTGGTTTTCCAAAAAGTCTTACACTGTATATTACTCTTTTATATTGCCCCAAGAACTTGTAAGATATTTTTAATTACACATCATAGGATATTACTGTTGAACTTAAAGTTTATATGTGTGAGCTATGAGAGTTCGCACTCAAAAGCAGTTGGTATTAACCAAGCTTTTATTAAAAATGTTTTCGATAAAAGGGCTAGTAGTATTAAATAATCAGAAACATGAGCTAAAATAGTTTTTATAAACAGAGAAGAAAATCTAAATCTTACATCATTAGATGACTAGTTATCCAGCTAACCGTAAATATAGAAGCCACAAATTATGACAACGCGACATAAGTTTTAAACCCACAATTATATATATACTCATCAGAGGCCTTGTTCTTCTGTGACATCTATGCCAACTTAATTGAAAAGTGGAGGTCAACAACTCAATGCCTCAGAACAAGCAGCTCATTTGCATGTCAACTAAAGACAGAAGACCGTCAATAAGTGGATAATGGCAGAAAAGAGCAGGGTTCTGAAATATAAAAAACAATTGGCAAATGAAAGTGCTGGCAGGGATGTGAGCTAAACTGGATAATTATAGTTAACCCCAGGGCTGAATGATGCGGCAAAATAAGTTAACCGCGCCAGAACTTATGTCGTCATCATGTCAACGGCTGTTTTACCGGGGGTTGGGGTCACCAGATATAAGGGCTTTTGAGTTCCGGTCCTCTTTACTTGACCGCAAGAGTTGGAATATGTCATTTCTAAATGGAAAAACCAATTTTATTGACCCCCGGGCATCGAAACTGACCAGCGAGGAGTTTCGAAAATGATTGAAATGAAATTGAAATTTGATTGGAAGGAATTGAAAAGGGACACAGACCTAAATTAAATAAACTTTACTTGGGGGTTGCGCAATAACAAGAATTGGAATATCTCAAATACAATAAATAGGTTTAATATTTGATCATAATTTAATTTCTGCAAAACCCTTAGTTCAAGAAAATCGTCTCGTAACTAGTAAATGTCAAAATTATAAGAAAATATTTTTGGCACTTAAAATTTAAATTATATTATAGTACATTATATATTATTTGTAGTCTTAGCTATTCGAAGTCTTATTTATTATTTATTACTATTTAAAATAAAATAAAGCAATCTTTAATGGTTAAAAATAATTTAGAAACGTTCTTAAATTATACTTAGACAAATTTTTCGTTTTAGTGATGGTCCTAATAATAAAATACATTGTTTACGAAATTGCGAAGACTTTGGCCCGCAATTAAATAAACATAAAATGTCAGCGACTTGGCCAAATAATTTCAATAACGAAAATTGGCTGCAAAAACGTCTGTGGGTAGTACCTTATAAGGGAAGTGATGCTTGCGGTCGTTTTAAACAAACCGCAGGTGTTGCATACATTTGCCAGCTTTGCATTAATTATGATGTGTGTCTCGGGAAAATGGTAGTGGAAGGGGAAAGCGAAAAGGGGGCGGCTTAGAACCAGGGGGCGTGGCGGCAAAACTATTTGCCGCACTTGCGACCAAAAGCTGGTAGCTCGTACGTAAAATTGTACCATACTTATGGGCTAAAGTAATTTTATTGCTATGCACAGGAAGCTGCACAGACGCCGTCGTCCTGCAAGAGGTCCTGTGGAGAAGAAGAGAAAACACGGATCCCCATAGAGCTCCTGGCACATCGTGTGACCCGTAAACTTTGCAGTTTCTTTGTTTGGACTTGGCCCAACGTGCCGGGCCCAAGTTTGTTGCCGCTCATATTATTTTAGTTGGGTAGTTTCCGCTAGTTTCTGCCGTTTGCTGCTGCACAAGCAAAAAATATGTCCTTTTAGACTTTTTTTTACAAGATCAAAATTCCAAGTTAAAATTTAGTGGATTTAGGGTGGATGATTACAAAAGCAGTCTTGCTTTTAATTATAAAAATGATCAGTTGAATGTGCTTCAAAATGTTTGAAATATGTAGGACATATATGAAACTTTTAAATCTTATATAATATTTGAACATCAATAAATAAATCCATTATTTTTAATTCTATTTTTTAAAAAAAGTATAGTTAAAGAAAATGTTTTCTCTGTATAATGTTATTTCTTACAACCGTGGAGAGTGGATGACGTTGAGATCCTGCGTCCTGGGTATGCGTCCGCACATAAAATGTTATTGCGAAAAACTATTAAATTTCTCTAGAGATGAAAATATGATCAGAAATTTAAATCGATTTATTAAAAGCCGTCGCAGTTGTTCGTTCAAGTGATTGGAGTTGGTTCGTTACTTGGCCAAAAAGGAAAGAGGAGTTTTAACTACGCAAAAGGAACATGTGTTGCCGTACAAAAGTTTTGTGGCCGAACACCGAAAAGGTTTCCAATGTGAGACGATTCCTGATTGACGGCAGTAAAGTTATTACAGTGGGATATGTTGGGGAGTTGTTTATTAATAACATATAATAAGAAAATGGATACTTAACAGGTGATTGAGTTGTGTATAATGAATGTCTGGTGGCTTTCACAAAAAAAAATTGTCAAAAATCAAAACATTTATAAACCGATCTCAAAAATGGGATAGCTATGAGTATAGTTTATATTAAGACCATTTGACAAGATTTAGAGCCCACTGTGCCAAGTGCCTTGCCTTAACCCAAAGACATCCGCAATGGCAGTCATATTTCGGTCAAAACTGGGGAAAACAAAATTTACTATGTACACTTAATGTCTAGACAAAGCTTCCCAATTACCTTATCCGATTACACGAAGATTTGCCTCACGAAGTGTTGGACGTTGACTACAAGCCCCCCAAACCGAGAATGTAAACCCGATCCCAAAACCCTAGCCCAAAAGCATTGCTTTTCGAAAACCCTTGACCCGGCATGCCAGGAACTCTTCGAGGGAAATCTTCATATTACTGTTGTCCCTTTTTTTTAGGAATCCCACACCATGGCAGAAAATGTTAAAATAATTTGGGCAAAAGAAACGTTCTCACACCTTTCGCTGGGGAACGGAGTAAAAAGCACTTAAGTGCCTTGGCCAGGACTCGGGTTTTTAATTGAAGTGCAGTCCAGAGTCCTTGTGTGTGGGTGTGTCGTTTTTCAAGCAGGTGTAAAGTTAAATCATAAAATGAAATTAAAATAAACCAAAGCCAAACGTAATGAAGTACGGAAACACTCCACAAAAAAGGAAAGAAAAGGATTAAGCGTGGGCTAACTCAACATCCCAAAGGGTTTCCGGTTGCTTCCCCTGGTGCCCATAATTAGCTGCAAGTTGGCTAACAAATTTTTCGAGAAATTTTTCTACAATTTTTTTGACAACATTTTTATACGAAAGCAACATTTTGTTATTGAAAAATTAATGAACCCTTGCCTTGTACATTGACACAAGGACTCAAAGGGGCAGCTCAGGGGCGTGGCTTATGATTATTGCCAGAAAAGGTTCGAAAATTATAGTTTTGGTGTTTATAAAAATAGACCAATATTTCATTAATCAATTTTATCAAAAGTCTTATCTAAGTTCAACTTTCCTGAATCAAAACTTAACCCCTTTTCAACGCAAACCCCATTACAAAGTATACGCCACTGTTGGCAAGCCTGCGCCAACGTTTTTGTCATATTACTATATAATTTATTAAAATTCTTATTTGCAACGCAAAGGACAGCAGGAGAGGGATAGCAAGAGTCGGCTAGAAAGAGATAGCTGAAGAGGACTCGGCCATAAAAACAAAAGCGCCTCGTTAGTGTTGAATTTTTAATAAAAAGCCGCACATGATACCGAGTCAAAAAGTAAATTACAATATTCCTTCTATAATTTAATATAATGAGGCACATTTCTCGCCATCTCATCCTTATATTCATTTTGTTATTTAATGTGTGCGTGTATGATTGCCTTTTGGTGGCCATTAAATAGATAAAACCCGACAAGCCCCGGTTTTCGGAGCTGTCCTTTTCACATTTGCATATGGAAAACGCAATCAAAACGCCAGAGAGTCAACAAAACCGCTAAGTAAACTTAAACAGAATGGTCAGTGGGAGAGTTTGGAGGGAAACCCACCTGACAATCCGAACATTTCATTTCGATGGCGACGCGTTTGTTTGAACTCCAGCCAAATGCACACGCCCCCTCAGAGAAACATATATACACATATATGCACCCGTATGTATATTTACGACATCCGCCGCTGTTCAGTTCCGGTATTCGGTGTTTGTTTTTGAGGTTACGCCTCCGGAATCGACTGGCAGAATCGGGTGGGTCGGAGACTATAAATGCAGGGTCAGCAGATTGCGCATACAACTGCTGGACAGTTGTGAACATGCGTGGTTAATTTATTTAAATAATTTGAAAACTCTTTGTACGCAGAATTGGATTTTTTATACGCTGATAAGCAATATATTAATACTTCTTTTGTTTAAATAAATATTTTTATTTAGACAGAGAAACTTTTGTTCTGAAATCTTATAAACTTGTTATGCTCAGACATGTATAAATGTTAATAAATTAATAAACAGTTTATAATAAGAAATATACAAACTATGGACTGAAATGTAAAAACATAAAATTTGATCAAATTAAAAAATTATATATGCATGTCTTGACTGCTCACAACAATTTGATTACTGTTTAATAATAATGTTTTTATAAAAATACTAATGTCCCCTTTAAAACTAAATCGAGGCTAGGAATTTTTCCAATTGTTCTTTCCAAGCCAAAGCACAACAATTTCCCCCCCAAAATCTTTCAAGTTCGAAGAAAATTAGCCCAACAAATGATGCAGAGAAGAAAAACCGAAATGCCAGGAACAGGCAATTAAAGAGCAACCAATACACACCCCACCCAAATAAAGAAAATTCCCCAACCTTCGGGGCAGGCAGCCAAGCAAACGGAAAATTCATTACAAACAAATTAACAAATAAATCAAATTTCAATACGAAAATTTGTTTGCGAAAACAATTTTGAGACGGGTTGGTAAGTTCATGGGATAAGACTGGGGGATATATACAAATCGCATGCCACGCCCCAACGCGGAAGCCCAGAAAAGTGGGCGGGAATGGGGGAAAATGTAGAATCCGTTTGACTGACAGGCGGCAAATCGTCTGAAGCCCAGCCAGCGCACTTGAGAAATCATTTATCTAAATTAATTCCTGTCGTTTACATTTGCCAGAAACAAAGAGGGGACTGTTTTCAGTATGGGCGAGAGATTTTCTGAGGGGTAAGTTGGTTTTAAATGCGAGCGAAAACAAAAATCAAAGATTAAGACAAACATTTACTTCATTTGGGGATTGGGGGATTCTGCGGATGGACTGCCAATTGCCTGGAAGCTAGACAAGCTCACGCCTCAAAAATGCTAACCCACTGATAAATGACATGAATGCGCATTTCAGTCGACATCGCGTTAATAACTCATTTTAAAATTCCACAACAAACTCTAACATACGTAACCGACAGCCGAAAAGAGGAAAACCGGAAAAACAATTAAAATTGTTCTTAGACTGAAATGGCAACAGTTTCAACCCTTTCAACGGATACGCAACTCGCAACGGGCGGTTTTTCGTCTGAGCAAAAGTTTTGATACATCAAAATCGCGAGGGAAACGCGCGGTTTTTGACGTTAAGCTTTCGGAAAGATGAAAAGTTCTACGGAGAGTGAGAGTTAAACCCCTTACAACTATATTTAGTACTGAAATGAGAGGGAGAGTGAGAGAGAGTTATATTTACTGTTGGAATAATTGGATCTGTCAAAAGCAGCAATTATAATACCTAAAGCCTCTCTATAAATGATAAATCAAATAGAATATTTGATTGCATATTCCATTTTAAAGCCAGTCCAAGTGTAATTATTAAAATGATTAACAATATTGGTGTAACGCAATGTTAGGTAAAATAAATTGAATAACATGGAACTACTGTAGCTATGTTTATCTCGTTTTATAATTTATAAATGCAAGTTATAAACTACAATGTTAAACAAATAATTCACAAAGCATTTATACACTGATAAAAATATAAAAATAAAATATAAACGCATATTGAATTGCATGATTTAATATTCAAATATTTTAATTTATGTGAAAAATATTAGATTTAAAAAAGTTCCTATTTGAATTAAATGCATTTTAAAATTTTGAAACATTTTTTTATTTATGATAACTAAAAACTCCAATGATTGAAAATCAATTTGGGTTTAATACGTTTCTAACCAGTGTATACGAAATAGAATAGAATAAATAAATATGTTGTGGAATTTAAAAACTACTAAATTTAATTAAATTTTAATGTATGCTATTTATTAATAAGTATATGTGTGACCAATTCTAGGAACTTTGATTTCTTCTAAATTTAGGTTAAGTACATTATTTGGCATTAATAGACTCTGAAAAAGTAATTATCTTCGATTCCTTACAAGCTAACTAGAAGACTAGTTAATTCCCTTAAACAAGTTGTGATGTGGCGGATCTAGGAAAACCTTGTTTACAAATTCGGGGGTCTTGCGAGCATAGGCAACCACCAGTTTATAAGGAGATAAAAACTTTTGGTCCTCATTCTTTTCGCCTTGCTGCAAATTCATGGATATTACAATGTCTACGAAATCGTCAAGGAATTCTTCATGCAATGTGGAAGGCATGCGCTCCAAAAAAGGACAAATGGCTTTCACGTTATCTAAAAATTAAAATATAACAATAAGCTTGGCGGCTAAAAATTGTGAATATTTTTTTTCTCACCCTTTAGAGTCCTGACACCTTCGTAAACGAATACTTCATTCCGTATTTCCACATTGTGTTGTTCGAAACCCACTTCGTTGAGCAACTGACTGAATTCCTCGCCTGGGTTTACACTGTAGTGAAGTGGTGATATAAATTGCTCCACATCCTGCATAAAAGTCGACCATTTATCGTTTCCTTTGAGAATTTTGTAGACTTCGTAAACTGGATTTGAGGCCAGGAAGGCCAGAAGACAGTCACCGCCCTCAGGTTTTAGAAGATTGTAAATATTGCCGAGGGCTCCTTTCAGGTTTTGCACCCAGTGCAGGCAGTAGAACGAGGTGACATGGTCGAATCTGGCTTTCAGCTCCTCCGGTAGCCTCTCGCATCCTATGTCTAGAACTTGGAATCTGGTGCGTTCCTCACCCTGGTAATATTTACTGGCATAGCCCACCATCTGACTGGAGATGTCGGTGCCCACCAGTTGCCCTCGCTTCGGAAGTAGGGGCCTTACGAAATCCATGAGCACATTTCCGGATCCTGAACCCACATCCAAGAGGGCATCCTCTCCATCGGACCGCCACTGCAAAGTCGAGGCAAACTCGTCCAGAATCAGTTTGGCATCGTGCCGTTGCACCTGGTTGGCGTGCTGATATAGAGAGGCCTGATTCATTTCGACAACTGATCGACGATTGGCGCCGATTCCAGCTTTATATAGGGCTCGGTTGTGATGTCATCAGTCACAGATTCTAATTTTTTCTCTCTCCTAAAATCCCACTCGCCAGCTTATGACGTCGAGCTAATTACGTACCGAGTATTATTTATTTTTAAAGCTTCGTAACTTTATTGGTTCCGTGAGGGGAAAGGCGACAAAAAAAGAGCGAGCGACTGACAGCTAGGGAATACACTGGTCCACATAATTTTTGACCGAAGCTGACAATGTTTATATGGTTTATTTAAATATGTTTTATATCAAAAAAAAAATTTACTACCGATAAAAATATTTTTCAGCCAAATTCTAACCGAAAGTCAATGAATAATCGGTTAAAATTATTATACGTTCAGTTAGTAAATTAAAAAATTTTATTTAATGTGGTATGCTAAGCAAAATATGCTAACAAAAAGAATTAATACAAAAATGGTAGTTGAAACCTATAAATTATATATTTATTTCAAAATAAGAATCTTTACATTTTCCATTTCATAAATACAAGTTTAAGATAATCCACGCAACAATAAAAACGCAAACAAACCTTGTGCTCATTCGTATCTTCCGAAATCGGGCATGGAAAGCTCAAGTTCTAGGTCAATAGAGCTTAGCTAATGCTTCCTTCATAGAATAATTATGACTTGAAGTACGTAACCAGGCATAGACATGCAAATCACAAGTGAACTTGAGCACACCCCTGGAAGTAAATTCCACACGAAATTAGCATAATTTTCATGACCAGTGTACCAGCCTCCAATTGAACAATGAAGATAAGGCACAACAATTGAATGAGAATGCCCAAAAAACGATCTTAAATTTCGGTAAGCCCGAAAGTGCATATATATAATATTTTGGGGGTACATTCAACTCAAAAAAACATTAAGAAAACTAAAGTTAGTTCAATGACCTACCCTAAGGAAGATTTTAAAATAGTGCAATAGAAATTTCTCTATTTTAAGATAACCATACCAATAATGATTTTTCGAACTGTAAATAGAAATAGAAATTTATTTGGTTTTGCGTGAGGAAAGATTTTACCCTTATTCATCATATGGCGGGGAATATAAATTTATTAAAAACATTCCATTTAGCTGCAAATTACATTTGTGTAATTGCTGCCAGGCCCAGAAAGCGTAGCTCATGATATTTCAAATATTTCACATACGAGCAGAACGGTCGTTTGATGTCCCTGGGATATGAATACTTATATTTGACTCCACCTCACGTTCACATTCTGCATTCTCCAACACTCGGCACATCACATCCATATAAATTCATTTGCCAGAAGTGACATCAAAAGCCCTCGCCCGGTTTCTGTTTCTGGCTTAATGTGTGTGGGCGTTACGGCTGGTTAATTGCATTTGTCGCAGACTCTTTTTGGCAATATAGCAAACGGCAAAAAGGGGTTATTCGGCTTGCAATTACCGAGAGCTGTCGATTGGCTCGAGCCGTCACAGAGCCACGGAAATCAATTAAATCGGACGAACCAAACCGAAACGAAACAAAACGAGCAGAGCAGAGGATTTGGAATCATAAGCAAAGACTATTTTAATGCATTTATAGGACATAAATCAATTATTTTTGGAGTTAAGAGAGCAAGAAGGATTGATTTTCATGGATACATTTCTTTGGAATAATAGATTAACATAAAGCTGGCAAAACATAAAAAAAAGGTCAATAGATTAGGTTTTACCTTTTGATATCTGCTAGTCACTAAGTCCTTAATGCTGGAAATAAGTTTAATAGATTTGATTTATAATTTAAATTAATTTACATATACTTATATTAATAATCCATTGATTTATAGACTTTTAAATATAATGATGTGAAAGAAGCATAAAATCAACAGTACCAACTTTATTTTTACTTTAAAAGTTTGGCTTATCTTTTGATTTAACCACAGAATCATTCATAGCAATTAAGTTTTAAGCAGATTGTTAAATATTTAACATGTCAAGTTGTTATCAATCCCCACATATTAAAATGTGTTTTCTGTGGAACAATATAGAATTCGGTTTTCTTGCCTTATCAATTTAAGAACATTAATGAAATGTATGTTTGGAATCAAGTTCGGTCGCAATGTTGGGTTTTTCCAGAAATTAATAAATAAATTAGGTACTCGTTTTTTTATTGTTTTTTATTCCCCGAAAAAATAATGCCTAGCTCAGCAATAAATTAAATATATTAATATTTCGCGTTAAAGACACAGAAAGAAAAAACACATATTTTTTAGGGCAATAATATATTAAGCAAATCCAAATATGTGTTAAATGTCATAAAGAAAAAAAAACAGAAAAATTAATATTTCTTTATAAAACAAAGACGTTCATCTAACATTTTTATGTTTTACTGACCTTGTTCCTTAGTAGTCCTAAGCCAATTAAGTCAGCTCATGCGAACTTTCAAAAACCTCAACCACCCCTTTGAGAATAAACAATAGAAGGAATGAAAAACCAAAAAGGTAAAGTAAACAGAATCTTATAGATTTTTATGTGATTTCTAATGGATTCACGAACACTTATAAGCCCACCCATCACTCGCTGAACATCCCTTAGCCCCCGACTCCATCCCGGAAAATCATTCGCACACACTTGAAAACTATTTAAAGTTTATCTAACTGAACAGAAGACCGTAGAAGTCGGTTCTGGTTATTTTCAGATGTAGTATGGGGGTTGGCAGTAGAACAACAAAAACTTTTGCATATGTTGAAATATCGAAATAACAAACAAAGCAAGAAAATCTCTTAGAGAGGAATGGGTTATGAGTGGGATTCGATTCTTCGCGGGTGGGGAAATGAGTTTTTAATGTCCCAAAGGGGAATACTTGGAGAGCTCTAGATAACCACACATGCACAGAGAAAAAAAAGTATATTAGAATATATATATTTTTTTTTACTGTATTACAAAATTATATTTTTATTTTTTAAAACAAATGAACATATTATACTTTTTTTTTTGACTTGGAGTGACTTACAATGCAATAATACAAAAAAAAACGGGAAAAAATATGCTTCAGTGAATTAATCTTTTATTGTTGAATTTTCCCAATTTTCCGAGTCCATTGCCAGACTATCTATAGTTAAATTCTAGCAGTTTCTCTTCAATCCAGTCTAAGAACAATGCCACATTAGTGTACGTTGCTGGGACGTTTTCCAGGCCGCATCCCATGCCCCAGGCCACGATGCCAGCCTGCACGTATTTGTTCGAATTTTGGCCTTCTACGGGGCAAAACATGGCAGATCCGCCATCACCGATGCAGGCGTCCTGGTTAAGCTCACCTCCAGCACAAATCAGACTCTGGGGAAGCTGAAATCCATAGCCTAGTTTGGTCGGCTTCAACTGTTGCTCACATTTGCTACCGTCCACAATAGGTAACTCAACTTTTTTCAGAACGGCGGACAGATTTGGATCCGAGATGTTCGTCTTGCCCCAGCCGGCAACAATGCAACGTTGGTTTACAAACGAGCTTTGGTATCTAGGCAAGCATATGGTTCGGATTTGGTTGTTTAACTGGAAGCTTGATCTCAGAAAGAGAAGAGCCACGTTGTTGGCACCGTTTTGATAATTGAATCTTTCATGATACACAAACTTCTCCACTGCGCGCTCTTCAAGGGGGAACTCTTCTCTGTTGGAGTTCATGTCCCATTCCGCAGCCCTGACCACAATTTCTGGATTGACCAGATACTTTATGCGGTGAGCTCCAGTAAGCACAACTCTTGGGCTAATCAGAGAGCCGCCCGACAAATATTTTCCATGGTCGAACACAGCCACGACCCAGGGAAACTCACCAGGCGATGCTTGGTTCGTAGAGACCCTCCGTCGATTTCCATTTCCCATTCCGCACTGTTCATTATCGGGTAAGTCTTGATGGGGTAAGTCTTGATGGGGAAGGTCTTGATGGGGTAAGTCTTGAACACCATCTCTAGCAGGATTTTGGGGTCGGTTATTATCAATATCGAATCTGGTAATCGGTGCGATCCACTTTGTATTAGTAGGATCTTCTTCTTGATTGGAAAAGACAGCTAAGGTTTTTGTGTGAGTCTGCTGGCTTCCATAAAACCCGAGCAAACTTACTGATTTCGGTGATGTCGCATAAACATTCTGTAAATAATAATAAAATAATTAACTTTAAATATTTTGCACAAACGGCATTTTTTGACTTACCTCACGGAGCACTCCGCAACAAACTTTACCGAAAGGGCAATTATTTGCGCGGTATTTAAAATTACCTGGTGCAAGTTGTGAGCACTCTAGAAAAGAAACACAATTAAAATTGCAGGTTTCGCCCAATAGAACGCAGCCCAGAAGATAAGCTCCGAATGCCCAGAATCGTCCCATGACTTTTTGAGCAGATTGACCAGCGAATAATCGAGCTGCCTTCTTTTATACTTTTAAATCTCCCAAGCACCAAGACTATCAGTGTTTCAATACGTTGGTTTCATTGGAACACGTTATCAAATTTCGTTGTCCCAAAAAAAGCTTTTTGATCTTTCTTAAAGTGTCTTAAATCTTAGTCGTGAATATAAAATTTGAACTCGTGATGGGTCATTGAGAAACTTAACTGAAATAACAAAAAATTTTGAGTACACGCTTGTTTAATTTCATTTATTTTTCGAAAAAATTATGATAGACTACCTATTTGACATATTTAATTATTATATCATTACCGATTATATTACCGATTTTAAACATTCGAAAAACATTAAAATAGCATATTTTAATTAATCTAGCCAACTATCTATATATGTAACAAAGAAAATATAAAAATAACAATAAGAAACTTTTCTGAGATCCTGGGATGATTATGTATGAAATTAAAACAACTAAATATCTTTAATCTTTATAATAAACTCAGTAATTTTTTATTGTGTATAAACTATGTGAAGAGAACGGGCAATGCGGATTTAAAATACAAAGTAAACGGCGATTTGTTGTTATTGATTAGAGCGGGCAGACCCAGACAAA